TGAAGTGTTTTTCTGTCGCTTTGATTATACTGTAACAGACAGTTCAAAAGTATTCCCCGGGTCTCGGTGTAGACCCCAACATTTATTCAGCAGAAGCTGATACGATGAAATCTAATAAATCATAAGTACTCATAATTTTTTCTTTATCCCACGCTCGTGACAAGACGAAAAAACATTTTTCTCTATTTCTTTACCGAGCTCAAAACTCCCATCTCCCTCTTCTATTTACAATCATGAGTATGTTTCCCTTGTGTACAATTCAGTTTTGACTTGTGAGTGCGACTTTATTTTACGTAAGGAAAACTTCAATGTCCAATTTAATTCCCTTTTTTAGCTAAATGTAGATTGAAAAATGCACTCTCGCATGCCAAGTAGCAATGTTAAATTAATTTGCCTGTCGCTTTACGCGTCGTCAATCGACGTTCGTCGTTTTTCTTTGCAATCGAATAATGCAAACATATGGGAGGCATTTGACGGTATTGATATTGATTAAGACTGCACACCCTTGAATATTACGAAAATAGAATGGAATGCGCAAAGGTTATCAGTCTCGACAGCGTCGCATCGATTGAATGTCAACTGAAATGTATCTTTTGAAAGTAATGGATCCACATTGAGAGTAAGGAGGTTGAGGCAAAAAACTAGATACCGTGAACTCTTTAAAATTCAGTATTTTTCCCAAATTCTGTTTAGGCACTTTTTTTTGAAACTGTATTTCTTCGACATTTCTTCAAACGATAAAACGAAATCAGCTTTTGAAAAACATGGAGAGTGTTTCAGCATCCTGCACATGGCAAAACTGATTATGCCAAACGCATCACGTTGTAAATAGTTTCTACCATTGACTTTGCCGAAAATTGTTTTCATTTCAGCACCACAAGTACCGGAATTGCCTAAATCGTTTCTACTGCTAAAGAGCAGCCAATTTCGTTGATGTAGCAGTAATATTCATTTCCGTTAGTGGACCGGCTCTAGCTTTATCAGGGCTCTTTCTTTAATAAAGCTATTTAATTCTTCCTTTAATCAACTGAGTTGATAATGTGAACTTCCACGCAAGAGCCATTCTAAAGAAGACATTTCGTGCGTTAGTCCTTCGTCAGCCAAGTCCCGTTCTCAACTCAGTTTAACAAAAGCTAAATCAGCTGATTATGTAATCATTAGATTGAACGGACCGAAGGAATTAAAAACGCCAAGCATACGCTTTTATACTTCACAACGGCTGACAAAAATGGAACGACTATAATACTTTCTTTGAAACTGGATATAATTTTGCTGAACCTAATAAAGGCGAAAATTAAAGCAGGGTGTTCCAGAGGATTTTTTTTATAATTATTCTTGAGGGTAAAAGCACGTTCATGATCAGTTACCGCCAACTTTCCATAAGAGAAAATGAGATCACATTCCCAGGCTCTGTTTTTATAAAGTTATGACGCTTTTGAATATGCGAAATTTACAGCTGTGTAACTGGTTCAACGAAAAAATATGCTACGATTGCATAAACATTGTCTTGCACCCCGTTATTACGTACACGAATTCGCAGTAGCGACGGAACACAGTGCTGCATTACATCCACCTGTTGGATGTATACTTCCACTGCAAGAGAGCAACAAAGGGCGTAGAAGTATTTCATCGATATCGAGTTGCTGTCCATCCAATGCGAAATTTATGACTAGACTTCACAAAATCACAGAAAACAGCATGATGTACATCAAAAAAAACATGGTTGACCTTAGCTGACCGCGGCACCTAAGGGAAATTCGTGTTTGATAGTTCAAAAGTATTCCCAGGGTCTTGACTCCTGAAAAGCATTGACTAATTAAATACTAGTCGTCAATGCTTTGACTATTTAATAAAGTTCGATGTCAATAGCAACGCCTATATTTTTGTTAACATGAATTGGTTCAATTTCGAAGCTGGTCTGTTTCCTTAAAAGGAACTAGACTTAACAAAACTTAATAAGTCTATAACTTGACTCAACAAAATCACAGAAAACAGCATGATGTACATGAAAAAAAAACATGGTTGACCTTAGCTGACCGCGGCACCTAAGGGCAATTCGTGTTTGGCAGTTCAAAGTATTTCCAGGGTCTTGACTCCAGAAAAGCATTGACTAATTAAATACTAGTCGTCAGTGCTTTGACTGTTTAATAAAGTTCGATGTCAAAGCAACATGAATTGGTTCAATTTCGAAGTTAATCTGTTTCCTAAAAGGTCAGCATCTGAGACGAGGATAAAATGTTAAAAGTAACAATAAAAACATTGAACGAACCGAAGGAATTAAAAACGCCAAGCATACGCTGTTATACTTCACAACGGCTGACAAGCATGAAACGACTACAATACTTTCTTTGAAACAGGATATAATTTTGTTGAACCTAATAAAGCCAAAAATTAAAGCAGGGCGTTCCAGAGGATTTTTTAAATTATCATTATTGAGGGTAAAGCACATTCATGATCAGTTATTGCCAACTTTCCATAAGAGATAATCAGATAATCTACTGAGTTGATAATGTGAACTTCCTCGCAAGAGCCATTCTAAAGAAGACATGTCGTGTGTTGGTCCTTCGTCAACCAAGTCACGTTCTCAACTCTGTTTAACAAAAACTAAATCAGCTGATTATGTAATTATTAGATTGAACGGACCGAAGGAACTAAAAACGCCAAGCATACGCTTTTATACTTCACAACGGCTGACAAACATGGAACGACTAAAATACTTTCTTTGAAACTGGATATAATTTTGTTGAACCTAATGAAGCCGAAAAATTAAAGCAAGGTGTTCCAGAGGATTTTTTAAATTATCATTATTGTGGGTAAAGCACATTTATGATCAGTTATTGCCAACTTTCCATGAGAGATAATCAGATTACATTCCTAGGCTCTGTGTTTATAAAGTTATGGCGCTCTTGAAAATGCGAGACTTACAGTTCTGCCTCTGGTTCAACGAAAAAATATGCTACGAGTGCATAAACTTTGTCTTGCACCCCGCTATTACAGTTTCTCTGCAAGAGAGAAACAAAGGGCGTTGACGTATTGTATCAGCAGCAATATTCCTTGCCCAGCTTTTTTCGGGCTAGAAAAACTTAAACCTATCCATCGTCAGGGGTCAGCCGACCTCCACACCACTGATCAAGTAAATCGAAATTTCGTTTGTGAAAAGAATTACATGTTTATCGTTGAGGCCTACTTTACGGAGCTAAATTCTTTCTAAAGATGACGTTTCGAGTGTTAGTCCTCGTCAGCCAAGTCACGTTGTCAACTCAGTTGATAAAACCAAACCATCTGATTATGTAATCGTTTGTGTCCGTGTACCGCCCTCGAGGGTCCCTCCGCCTCTTTCTTTTTTATTTGTTTTCGACCTTGACTCTAGCAAAGCATTGACTAATTAAATAGTGCCTTTCCCAAATGTTATTTTAATTAAAGAAGAAATTAAATTTGATAACAATCATTCATTAGTGCACCTTCGTGTGACGAAACAGATTACTAACCAACAAGTTGCTATAAACAGTCTCAAATCTAACAAAAAAGGTCTTGAATGATTGCTATTATGTTAGATGGTTTGAAACACCTTTTAAATTTTACTTAAAGTTAAAGTTACAAATACATCCGCACTAAGCATGAACTAATTGTTAAATATCACATGATGGTTCACGTGTTATCATTATCATCAATGAGCGTTTCTTTGTTCTTTCTTAGCTATTAACATCAATCCACCCTAAAGCTCCAGTCAGTTCAGCTTGGTCGGCGACGGAGTGAACTACAACAGGCTATCTCAACTCGTAATCCAGTTTGGAAAATCAAGCGGCTTATCCTCAACATGTCTCTTTCAAAGCAGGTTAGTGAATTCTTGGAACTAAGCAAAGAGAGTCGAATCTACCCCGGTAACAAAGAATAAGTTAAAATCGTCCGAACGCAAATTGCTATGCCACACCCAAAACATGCTCTTCAAACGTCATGATTTCGCACTAAAATCAAGTAAAGCAATAATCCTCGCAGGCGAGCTGTAATTTTAACAATTGCAGAAAAGAAGCTTGACGGGAGCCATCACTCCTGGCTTGATAAAATTAGACTTCGACAGGATTCAAACCTGTGCCTCTCAAATACTAGCTGGGCGCTGCTACTAACCAACTAGGAATCCACACGTTAGGGGGAAGGCAAATTTTTATCTGACCTGCGGACGAAAATCAACTGAAACAATAATCCTCACAGGTGAGCCTCAATTTGTCTGAGTGTTCCAGCCGGTTCTCAAGTAGGATTCGCAATTGTTAAGGGAACAAAAATTTGTCTCCATTACTGCTCATTATTTATCGCCTAAGGGGAGGAGGGTGTTGGGGTTGAAATATTTTGGTTGAAATATTTTGGTTGATTCACGTAATATTTATGAGCCCACATATGACCCCCCCTCCCCCTCCCTCTAAGCCATCATTGGCGGTTAATTTGCATTCAATTTTGTATAGCTCCCCCTTTATACTTTGTTGGCGACGATTCCTCTAGCAACGTAGAACCCCCGCCCCAGAAATTCTACCAGGCAAAAGATAAATGTTAAACTGAACTTGAGCGCTTTATTTCGCCAGGTTAAAAAATTACTGAAACAGACGCATGCCCCACAAACCACATACAGAAAATTGCCGTCGTGTTGTGTCGCTATACTAATTAACCTGTCTTCATGTATCAGTCATGGCTTATTTAATTCATTCTGCATGTCCTCGAGCTTCCAACTCACCTTGAAGCTAAATTCAGTCCAATGTTTGTTTCTGACGCGATGAAATATTGCAGCTCAAGGAAATATTTTGAAAGAAGGTCAAAGAGTAGGACAATTAGATATAAAGAACCAAATGGTGTGAGGCGCATTGTGTTAATTTGATATGGCGTAAGCTGTATCTTAATAATAAAAAAATAATTTATATTTTATCGTTTCAGATACTGCGCAATTAAATGCGCTGGCAAATTAAAATCAGCTTAGGTCTTTGAAAAATATTACTGTCAGTAGAAAATAGTCGTTTCTTTCCTTTTTACTTATTCAGGTCATTCTAAAAGATATGAATATGAAATTTGAAATGAAGGGTAGTGTCAATGGACATTACTTCGAGATCGAAGGTGAAGGAAAAGGAAAGCCTTACGAGTAAGTGTCTCTTAAAAGACAGACCGAGATGAATTGTTTCATTACTATGCATTGCAATTTATTGTTAAACACAGAGTTAAATAAGATCACATTGCAGCCGTCAAATAAAGCCTAATGTCACGGTGTCAATGATTTTGGGAAATTACCAAAGTGAATAAAGACTTTTTTAAAAACGCAAAGTGATCAAGATCAAAGATTCATAAGAAGATTTTCAGTCATGAACTAGGAGCTTGTTTTTATTCGCGTTTGCAAATTACTAACTGCCTATGACATCGTCTACCTTATCTGCTTCCAGAATCAGGCGAAGTGTAAAGACTACTGCAAATTATCCTGTAAAAGCTTAGTCACAGCTAAATTCATTTGTAATACTTTAATTTCTTACAACTTAGCATGAAAGTTTATGCAGTATTTGACTTAAGTTTGCATTATCATGAGCATAAAATATTTGTTCTTCCTAATTTTCCTGTGTTTCAGGGCATACATGAGCTGTTTCTGAAAATAATTTTCAACACATTTATCATATTATTCTAGAGGAATACAGAAGTCCACTTTTCGGGTTACCAAGGGAGGACCCCTTCCATTCTCCTTTGACATTCTGTCGTCAGCGTTCAAATATGGAAATAGATGCTTCACTTCTTATCCTGAGGGCATGCCCGACTATTTCAAGCAAGCCTTTCCTGCTGGAATGTCGTATGAAAGGTCATTTACGTTTGAAGATGGAGGAGTTGCCACAGCCAGTGGACACATTGGGTATAAAAGTGATGTTTAGTATGGGATTGAGATAATACTCCTTAAAAGAAATCTTTAAGGTCATTTTTTAAACGGAGCAGGCCGCGCCGTTTTTAAAAGTGTAACTTAGTTGTGATTCTCCTGAGAGCGCCTGCTGTCTAGCTACATGGGAACAAAACTACAACTTGAAAAGCATAGTGACAAGAGAATATTCAGACGACTGTATTTTAAAAGAGGCATCTATGGGAAAATTGGTTTAATTTGAAAAACATCGTAGCTGAAATGACAAAATCTAAAAAACAAAATGAGCTAATACATTATTCTCCAGGGCACATTGCACTCTAGGCATGTGACACAGATATAAGGGTAATTTTAAATCTTTGTTATTGATTTCTCAAATTTCTCTTAATTTTTACAGTCTTGAGGGCAATTTATTTACACACAAATCCATGTTTCATGGCGTAAACTTTCCCGCCGACGGACCCATAATGGGAAAGAGGACGATTGGCTGGGACCCGTCCTTTGAGAAAATGACCGTCTCTAACAACATATTGAGAGGGGATGTGACTATGTTCCTACTACTCAAAGGAGGCGGTTATCACAGTTGTCAGTTTCACACTTCTTACAAGTAAGTACTGTAACAGCTCCAACGGTTGAATATCATTTCTTTTGAGCTATCGGTTCTCATCTTCTGAGTTTTACGGGATGTAAGCAACCAAAGGGAACGCTGGGATGAAAAGGGCCTGGAGAGAACGGCTTAATACTAATTTTCCGTGTCAATTAAATATTTGGGAGAGAATAAGACTCTTCACAAGATACTAAAGGTAATCTATAATGATATCCTTTAAAGCTAAAAATGTTTCCTTCCCTGCATTTGTCAATAAAAGATGTTCAGGACGATGGAAAAATAATCACAAGTAATTGCTAAACTACATTGTACCAAAAAAAGTAAAGTTCATTAAAAAGTAAAAAAAAAAACCAGTAAAAAAAACCAACGCTGATGCGGAACGTAAAACGCATATTTTGTATTTTAACAAGCATTTCTTTTCCTTTTGCACAGAACAAAGGCGCCAGTCACACTGCCTCCGAACCACGTTGTAGAACATCGCATAGTGAGGAGCGACCTTGATGACAAAGACGGCAAGAAGGTCCTGCTGGAAGAATATGCTAAGGCTCATGTTAACCCTGTGTAACTGGGATGGAAGTATTTTCACTACCTTTACGAAAATTTCTGACTTCACTATAATACGAATCAGGTCAGTTGAAAAATAAAAAAAGAAAACATAAAAAACATTGGTGATCAACTGTCTAGTGTCATCCTCTCAATTCGCACAGCCATAAATACTCCCTTAGACTTAAAACTGGATACAAACATTTTGTCGATTCGTTCAAAACGACAGTTTTTTCATGACTACCTTCACTTTCTAATAGTGCTAGTAGCTACTTACAACCCTTTCCGAACAATTGTCCATCTCCCTAGCCACCGGGCATTGCGCGAGTCAACTGGTCATGATAATTAGACACTGTAAAATTGAGACATGACTTTTGAGAAATTATGACTTAGCACAAAATTAAACACATCATTTACTAAATCTCTGAAAACAGCAACTGGTTTACATCTCTGTTTTCGATTTGAGGTGATAAAGTTCAGAATACATCATGAATCTCATGCTTTCCGCAATCAGCTCTTACCACCATAGTGCAAGTTTAAAGCGAATGGCAAGAGTCAGATCCCCGTGAATAAATGCTTTATTTAAACTGAAAAAAACCGATCAGCAAATTCATCATAGAAAACGCTGGTATAAATCAGTAATAAAAATACTGTTAAAAATACAATTCACCATCGATACAAGTTAAGATTTAATAAAAACAATTACCAAAAAATATTTACAGTGATAAAAAATTTATACACTTCATTTGTGTTTTGCCTCATCTGATTCTACTAAAAGTTTAAAAGTTTTAATTTTAACAATTCTCAACGTTTCACAAACACACAGTTCTTTGGGGAGGTCATTCCATTCCTTTGCAGCGGCATACTCGAATGTTGACTGGCCCATAGCTGTTTTGTATCTTGGGAGATGAAGCTCCCTACTATCTCTGAGGGCTTTACGGCGAAGTTGTGATCTCAATGCAAAATACCCTTGAAGTTGCCTGGGACAGTGATAATCATGTACGATTTTATATACTAGTTGGAGACGTAAATAACGGCGCCTGTTAGATAATGTTAACAGGCCAAGTCTCTCCCTCATTGACTGTGTGCATGCTAAGTGATTTGTTCTTAAAATTATTCGCATTGCTTTGTTTTGCAACCTTTCCGGAAAATCGGAGTTCTTCTTGCTGCAAAAACCCCATACGATGCAGCCATGGTCTCAAATACTTAGGTAAATTTGTCATTTTGTAAATCTTCAATAAAATTTCAGGGCTAAGAAAAGATGAAATTGTACTTAAAAGTTTCAGTTTAGGATAAACTCTCGAGGCAACATGTGACACGTAATTGTTCCATGATAATGATTCGTCTACCACCACGCCAAGATACTTAAAATGTCTCTGCTGTTTTAATATTGAGTCTCCGTAAAAAATGTTTAGAGACTGACCGCGTAAGAACGGATAGGGCAAATTTCGGCCGATCACCGATTTCCCTAAGTTTTTCAGTGAAAGTCGAAAATTATATCCCATGTACAAATATCACATTTATTTTGATCATTTTCTTTCTTTTTATTTTTTATGAGACAATTTTAGAGGTCACCCCAAAACTTCCCAATTTGCCTTCTGTGACCCCTATTATTAAGCTATAAATATCGAGCGCTGCCAAATCCTTATTTCCCAATGTAGAAAGCTGATTATTTTACATATTTAAGAATGACTATATTTCAATACTTTAAAGGTAAAATGATTGCATTCTATAAAATTTTTACTAAGTTATGAAATTTTCAAAATACCTTATCGTGAGCATTGAAATTTGTGAGCAATGAGATACATGCGGTTGAAAGCTATTTTCTCTTACGCGGGGCCTGATCTAGAGTCAAGTCTATTGCAGCCTAAAAGTACTTAGAAACAGCAAGTTAAACATAGATTAAAACTTTTGGGCACTCCTCATCCTGCACCGTAGAGAACTTGGCGAATTTCATAAATTATTCGCCATCTTGATTGAAACCAACGATAAGGCGGTCCGATCTGCAGACTGGTTTCTAAAGCGTAACAGCCCTAAGGTGCCGCAAAGATTATCTGATGGAATATCAAGATCGATATAATTCATCATTTTGGCCATTGTTTCACGAAATGGCTCAAATTTTCCGGAAAAATACCTCGTTTTTAATTCCTATGTGCAAATTAGCTTCATGCGTTGGTGTTATAATACGCGTCAAAAATAGTTTTCGTAACAACATTTAGCCGTTCAAAGAAGTGTTCCTGTAAATGTGAAACTCATCTGTTGTATCCTTTCTTGACAGCTTTACGTAAAATTTCAAGAGCCATTTCCTTTGAACGCAATGCGCTAAGGGGATCCACCTTTTTTTTGACAACTAAGTTGTTCATTTCGCGCAAGTGTTTTTATCTTGTGCATAATCTTTTCTGACCTCTTTTGCCGTTTTTCTTCAGGAAAATAATTCACCCTTACTTGGGGAAAAAATTTCGTCTTACTATTTGCGAAAGTTTTTTAGATTGTGAGCTAGTTGGTTCTCATGATTAACGCCGTGGAGATTTTTCAGCGTGACTGTGGACTGCAGTGAACCAGCCTAGTCACGCAATACCAGCATTAAAAGATTGTCTCAAGGCTGGTGAACTCAAATTAAAGAAACATTTAGTTCGGCATTTATATCATGATATGTTGATGTTTCTCCATCGAAAGTATGAAAATCTCCCAGAAGAAATTGAGAAATTATGCAACCGATAGAAATTGGTATATTTAATTCAATGAACATTTCCAAAAGTAAGTTAGCAAATTTAGTAATTTAAGTTAAAGGCATAAATCATTGAGAAAATTTCGAGGAGGCAATAGAGAAAATCTCTTTTGTAAATGCTCGTACATGCTACAGAGTGAGGGTCAACATGACTAACGGCCACGGTAGGCTTATGATTTTTTGTTTTGACATTAAAGGCATGACTACAAAATAACAGGCGCCAATTTTAAAATGATTTTCACGGGTTTAATTACATGTTAATGCTTTAAGCACTTTCATCTATCGATATAGAACTGTACATCAGGGTATTTAGAGGCGGTGCACATTACTCTTCAACAAATTCACTTTAAATGCCCTATCACTGGTTTGCCAGGGCTCCATGCTGACAGTTATCCCAACCGCGGCCCGTGTGTTACACTTCATTAAAGCAATGACATTCTTGTATAAAGGACATCAGTTGCTCAATCAGGTTTTTTTTCCTGTCTTTTGATTTAAATGGTATTTCAAAAAAGGGCAAGATTTCTTTAAGCAGTGAAACATTAAAAAGACTCAGCTTATTATCCCTCGCACACTCGCACAAGTTAAAGGCGTCGTAAGATAGAGGGTGTTGCGGCCTCAGTTCGTTAGAAATGTGCGCCATCAGCTGTTGTCTTTCAGCTCCTTTTTCCCCCAGAAATAGTTCCTTTGGATTGTGCTCGATTTCTGAGTGTGCTTTTTGCCTTCTTCTGCTTGCTGCAAGGCGAGAAAAGTAACCCTGTACTTGGCTCTTGGTCAACCACTCGTCTCATTCAAACAACCTTCTATTCTACTCATCTCTTGTCTTGCTCATATTATTTGAGACTTGCTGAGGGTCAGCTTTTAGCCTGATTGTTCCCCTAGGTCAAACTTTGCAGTTAGATATTTCTTAACTTTGTCACTGAATCTAGTGGATCCTGTTCGTGGCCAGTGTAGGGCCCAACCCATAATGACGGTGTGCAACGCGGGTATTGAGACATTTTCACTTTGGTGGATATTAGGTTCAGACGGTTCATTTTCAGTGACGTTGACTGATGTAATAAACCTGTCTACCCAATCTCTACGAAGCTTATCATATGGCGTTTCTGACGGCCTTTCATCTTTGACGCAATGATTCGCTACGTCCAAATGTGACTCGAGCTCTGAAAATGTTTGGAAACTCTTCACGCATCCAGGCTCGGAACATTCAGACATACTTATATTCGAATCGTTCCAGTAATTCTCCTCTTCTGAACTCTCTGTCTTAGGATCTGAGCATTGATAAACACGTGCATCCTGAAGAGGGAAAAAATGTTTCACTGACAATGATACCAGTGTCCCTTTAGCGCTTTAACACCAGCTGGTCAAAAGAGATTTCCTTACCACGCCCTATTCCGTACGACCTCCTCACACGAATACCTTTCTCCTCAAACTGGACATTGTGAAGCTTGCAAAGCCATCTATCTCGTTCACTTCTAGGGTTATCTTCGCCACCTCAACTTCGCAATGGCATGCGGATTTACCTTTTACTGGTTTTCCAGAAAGTGCCCTCCTCATGTCTCCCGCTAATAGAATGTCGTGTCCTTCGTTGCAGAAACGTCGGATGCATGTTTTCATCGTACACAGAATTCGATCACACACATCCTTGCCATTTTGTGGCTCTGAAAAGTCGTACTGATAAACTTCCAAATCAACCCGCTTACCAATTCCTCTTGCCGCAGCAACGAGGGAGTTATTATGATGACAGCCAGCTTCATCTGACCGCTGATAAACCCGGGTGATGTGAGGCTTTTCGGTCTCAATTTATCTCAGTGTGCTTTCTACGATGGAACACACGGCGAACCAGTCCTGCTGGCATGCGTCAAACAGATGGGCATATGACCGCAGTTCTAGTCTTCCTTCAAGGTTCGGATCACGTGTGATCACCGTCGAGATGTGCCAACTCAATCCTCTCTTGCCAAACCAATCTGACTGCTTCTCACGATATTTAAGCTGGAGGAACTTACTAGTGCACAGTTCAGATTAGTACTTATCGTCTTCAGCTGATCTTGCTTTGCTGCTTCCTGGTTTACAGAGCGAACAATGTGAACCTTACACTCAAAAATATCTGTTTGTGCCAGTTTGAAGTCGTATAGCAGATCGTCTCGATGTTCACTGCCGTAAGGGATCCAAAATGGACCTCGAACTTTGTCTTCGACTTCATCTAAGACATTTCGCAGATTTTGACACTCGTTACAGTTTTCTGTGTGTTGATGGGAGCATTTCCCCTGGAAGTCGGGATCTTCTTCGTCACTTAAAACGAACTTGCGGCAATGATCAGGACATAAAGCTTTCTCTGTATTGCAGTGAACGCGATAATTTGTCTTTAGGTAGCGTTTTCCACTCTTCAGCCTTTCCTTAACCTCATCGCAACATTGCCTATTCATTCCTCCTTTCTCTAGATCATCGACAATCATTTCAATTTTCTGGAAACCAGCAGAGCCATCGGCAGCAGTATTGTCGAGGCCTTGTAACGACTTTCTCTGTGAGGCTTGTCTGACTTCTAGGATCTTGAATAAAGTGGTGCGACTGAGAGGTTCAAACTTTTCCTCCTGACAGAACTGTATGTACTGGCTAATCATCGAAGACCGCGTCTCGGTACGCACCACGTTCCGCATCTCGATGGTTTCGCCACTGTCTAGCTTAAGGAATTTAGTTCCCACGGCAACCAGGTGGACAATCAGACATAGTTTGACGCTACTCTGGTTTGCAGATTTAACGAATGTAACCGAAGACGTTACGATTCATAGACCCAACGTTTCGACACTCCTGTCTAGTGCCTTCATCAGGGGTGATCTAAACGCTGCAACAAGAGGTCCTTTTATATGATCAATAATTGGCTGCCTTTTTTCTGACGAGGTGTAAATAGGCGTCAGGAAGCAAACCGCCATCGTCACGATTTAAAGGAGCGTGGGCGGAGTTAATATGCCAAGCCTCCAAACAAAGGCGCTGATGGTAACGCCGATTAGTGGTGATAATTTTAGAATTATCCCACCCAATTGTATGGTTGGTTAGGCATGTATGCTCCGATAAAGCTGAATTTTCCTTTTTGCAAAGAAAAACCGCTTTTTGGTGCTCTTTTAACCGTGTACCAAACTAACGTTTGGTCTATCCGATGTATTCGTTGTCACAGTCATTGCAAGGAATAGAATAAATGGCGTCGGTTCGTTGTTCTTTCGTGACAGGATCCTTAGGTTTGGCGAAAATATGCCCCAAAGTCTGAAAAGGTTTTTGAGCAACTTTAACGTTGTGGCTATTCAAAATTCTCTTGATGGGTTCCGTAACACCCTGTATGTAAGGAATAACAGCAAAACCAGTCACTGGTTCCCTTTCATCAAGAGCGTCACTATTTGTAACTGGTTTTTGGCAGTTACGGAGAAAAGTTTTTGTATAGCCATTTGCCTTTAGGACACTGGCAACATATTTCCTCTCCTCAGCCTTCGAATCGAATGAAGATGGTAGACAGTCAGCCCTCCTAAGTAAAGTTTTGGCTACAGACTTTTTTATGGCCAATAGGGTGGTGAGAATCGAAAGCGAGGTATTTGTCGGTGTGAGTAGGTTTACGGTGTACACTTGTCTCTAAATTACCCTGAACCCCTCTAGACACATTTAAATCAAGAAAGGGCAAATGTCTATCCTTTTCACGCTCAAGGGTGAATTGGATCGACGGCTCTACTGAATTCAAATGCGACAAGAGGCGCTCCGCTTCATTTCCGGATACCGCAGAAATAACATCATCGACGTTTAGATCACCCCTGATGAAGGCACTAGACAGGAGTGTCGAAACGTTGGGTCTATGAATCGTAACTTCTTCGGTTACATTCATTAAATCTGCAAACCAGAGTAGCGTCAAACTATGTCTGAATTTAGTTCCGTATGACACGTCTTGATAAAAGTATGGGTGATTAATGAACTCGACGAAATGATCGACTTTGGTCATATCAATGCGAACACGATGATGTATCCTCTCCTCAGGCACCTGGTTGATTGAACCTTTGGTAGAACTGTGCCATCCCAAACCCAACAGTCGCTTAGAATGCTTCTTTTGGCAAGTGGTGTAAATAGCTATAAAATTGCATCAATACAACTGATAAATAATTCGTCGTCTTCATCATCGTCATCGTCATCGTCATCGCCATCGTCTAGCTTAGCCTAAATCATTTGTAATAGAAATGCCAAGCGTTTCAAACATCGTGCGTAACAGTTGTCGTTGTGGGTGTGAGATAAAGGAAAAGTGTTTTCGAACCGTAGAGACGAGTAAAAGAGGGGCGACATCATGCGAGGCATGGAGAGGAGATGCAGATTCACCGCTCAGGACTATATTTGTGTCCTTCATTGCCACCAACCAGGCTGTCCAGTAGTCTTAGTTCCTTGGTTGGTGATAAAAAATGCATTTTTGTATTTACGACTGCGACACCAATAATTAACCAAGGGAAATGGACTTGTGACTAACAACAACAAAAATTTATAGGAGTATTGACAGAACTAGAGAGAGAACTAGACAGAGAACTAGAGAGAGCCACAAGGCTATTGGTACTTACGTGATCTTACAGCGATGATTTCTTTAAATATAAGTCTTATTTCGTCAGCTATTTGGAAGGTTATGACGTGGCTGCCCGCCACACTTGTAACTTTCCTAGTATGGCCGGGGTATTGGCACGATCTTGGACCTCGTTAGAATCTTCCTAGTAAGTGTCTGTGCCTCGGGCAGATGGTCATTCCCTCGAGCTGACTTCTCGGCAAATGCTGAATCCCGCTCTCGCCATGATTAACTTGGCTTCTGAAACTTCACTGTATTTTGACATGAAGCAGCTCGCCAAATGGGCGGATATATCTGCGTTACACTCGGAGAGCAAAACATGCTCTAGTTCCTCCCCACTAGAACCGACTTTGCAGTATTTCGTAAAGAGAACAATTTGGGGGGACAGCAAGCATTTTGAGTGCTAACAAAGTAAACGTCCCAAGAAACACTGTCTCGGATTTGTCTGAAAATCTTGCAGACAAATCGTTTTGTTCCCGACAGATTTTAATTGAATTAGGAAGAAATAAACAAGTTTGCCAAATATTCTTTCGCAAAAAATAGAAATGCCACACAGAAAAGTTAAAAAGTTTTAATTTTAATAAGCTTTAAGCAAAAAAAATTACGTGTGTTTTTCAAGAGATGTACCTGTATTAAAAAGAAATGTAGCTGCCGTCGAATTTCTTTATCAAAATTAATCAATAATTTAATTAAGTGAAACAGAAACACTCGGCTCTCTTTTTTATCGCCTCATAGAAAATGAAAATGGTCATAAAAATATAATACAAAATTGTTCCTGCACCTTTAAGCCTTTTAGGGCTGTTAACCTTTACAAACCAGTCTGCTGGTCGGACTGCGTTATCGTTGGTTTCGATCAAGACGTCGGATATTCATGAAATCCACAAAGCTCTCTACGGCGCAGGATGAGGAGTGCCCAAAAGTTTTATTCTATGTTTAACTTGCTCTATCTAATTACTTTTAAGCTGCAATAGACTTGACTCTAGATCAGGTCCCACGTGAGAGAAAATGGCTTTCAACCGTATGTACCTCACTCCTCAGAAATTTCAATGCTCATGATAAGGTATTTTGAAAGTTTCATAACTCGGTAAAAATTTTACAGAATGCAATCGTTCCACCCTTGAAGTATTGAACTAAAGTCATTACTTAACATGTAAAATAATCAGCTTTCTAGATTGGGAAATAAGGATTTGGCAGCGCTCGATATTTATAGCTTAATAATAGGGGTCACAGAAGACAAATTGAGCAGTTTTGGGGTGAGCTTTAAAATTGTCTCGTAAAAAAAACAAAAAAAATAAAATTGATCAAGATAAATGTGATATTTGTACATGGGATAATATTGTTGACTTCCAGGGAAAAACTGAGGGAAATCGGTGAGGGCCGAAATTTGCCTTATCCGTTCTTACGCGACTGCCTCTTAAAGAGTTATCTTTTAACTTTGGCATCGAAGTTAATTTAGCAATCAGGAGACTGCAATGTAAGATTAGTCCAAAGAGTATGAATACTGCTGAAAATCTCTCTTTACATCTGAAACATTCAGTCTACTTGGTCAGTACTGTGGAGGTCGGCTGAACGGCCCTGATGAAGGAGGGGGATTGTTTCGCCCGAGCCTGGAAAAAAGAAAGGAATATTGCTGCCGATACTATATGTCCACTCCCTTAGGTGCTCTCATGCAATGGAAAAGATAAAGGCAACGCTCGTTCTTGTGGCACTGCTTTCCCTTGATACCACAATTTCGTGTCCGTATTAGCGGGGTGCCCGGCAACAAATCACTTCGATATGTACTCATGTAGCATATTTTTCGCTAACCAGTTGCAGTGTACATTTCGAATTCACATACAACCCTTAATCTAGGGTATTTCAATAGATATGCAAAGGAAAAGTGCTATTTGAGTTACATTCTGAGCAGTAAAAATGGAAAAAAAAAAAGGACATAGGAGCTTCTAGTTCGCTTCCTCAGTATTTTCTCTTTTGTATTTTGGGTATTCTAACTCTTTCCATTCGCTTTAAACTTGCATTATGGTGGTAAGAAATGACTGCGGAAAGTATGGGATTTATGATGCATTCTAAACTTTACCACCACGAATCGAAAACAGAGATGTAAATCACTCTGTAGATTCTGAGGTGTTTATTTTTGTGCTTAAGTCACAATTTCTCAAAAGTAATGTCACAATTTTATAGTGTCTAGTTATGATGACCAATTGACTTGCTCAATGCCCATTAGTTAGGAAAAAGAGCAATTGTTCGGAAAGAGTTGTAATTGGCTACTAACATTATTAGTAAATGAAGGCAGTCATGAAAAAACTGAAGTTTTGAACGAGTCGGCTGTACAAATTGAGAGGATGACACTACACACTTGATCATATCCATGTTTTTTTTATTTTTCAACTGACTTGATTCGTATTACGTCAGAAGTAACGAGGTAATAAAAATACTTCCATCCCAGTTACAAAGGGTTAACATGAGCCACAGCAGTTTCTTCCAGCAGGACTTTCTTGCCGTCTTTGTCTTCAATGTCGGTCCTTGTAATGCGATGTTCTACGACGTGGTTCGGAGGCAGTGTGACCGGCTCCTTTGTTCTGTGGAAAAGGAAAAAAAAAATTAGTAAAATATAAAATATGTGTTTTACGTTCCCTATCAGCATTGGGTCTCTCATTTGTTTTTTGAACATTAATGCTTTTGAACTTTGTTTTTTGGTACAGTGTAGATCAACAATTACTTGTATCAATAATAATTATTTTTCCATCGCCCTCAACATCTTTCACCGACAAGTGCAGGGAAGGAAACATTTTTAACTGTAAAGGATATTATAGTACATAATCCCAAACATTTTATTAACACAAGAAATTAGAATTAAGCCGTTCTATCAAGGCCCTTTTCATCCCAGCGTTCTCTTCGGTTGCTTTTATCCAGTAAAACATAGAAGATGCAATCCAAATATTAATGCTCCAAAGGAATGATATTCAACTGTTGGAGCTGTTACAGAAACAAAATACTTACTTGTAAGAAGTGTGAAACTGGCACCTGTGATAACCGCCTCCTTTGAGCAGTAGGAACATAGTCACATCACCTCTCAATATGTTGTCGGAGACGGTCATTTTCTCAAAGGAAGGGTCCCAGCCAATTGTCCTCTTTCCCATTATGGGTCCGTCGCCGGGAAAGTTTACGCCATGAAACATGGATATGTGCTTAAACAAATTGCCCTTAAGACTGTAAAGTTAAGTAAATTTGACATATCAATAAAAATATTGGAATCAACCTTGTAATTGCATCACATACCAATGTGCCCTGGAGAATAATGCGTTAGCGCCTTTTATTTTTGAGATTTGTCCTTTCCGCTACGATGTTTTTCAAACTAAACCCATTTACTTACAAATGCCCATTTCAAAATTTAGTAGTCTCCATATTCGCTGGCCACTATGCTTTTTGTGTGGTTTGTTCCCATTTAGCTAGACAGGAAGTGTTCTCGGGAGAAACACAATTAAGTTACACTTTCAAAAAGGGTGCTTCTCCGTGAAAAAATGACCTTGAAAATTTCTTTTAAAAATTATTATCTCAATCCCATACTACTCATCACCTAATGTGTCCACTGGCTGTAGCAACTCCTCCATCCTCAAATGTAAATGTCCTTTCATATGACATTCCAGCAGGAAAGGCTTGTTTGAAATAGTCGGGCATGCCCTCAGGATACTTAGTGAAGCATCTGTTTCCATATTTGAACGCTGACGACAGAATGTCAAAGGAAAATGGAAGGGGTCCTCCCTTGGTGACCCAATAAGTGGATTTCTGTATTCCTCTAAAATAAGATGATAAGAGTGTTGGAAATTATTTTCAGAAACAGCTCATGTATACCCTGAAATAAACGAAGATTAGGAACGACCAAATATTTTATGCTAATGAAAATTCAAACTTAAGTCAAACACTGCATAACCTTACATGTTAACTTGTAAAAAATTAAAGTATCGCAAATTAATTTAGTCGATTTGATCTTATTCAACTCCGGTTTTAAAAATAAATACTGATACATAATAATGAAATATTCATCGTGGTCTGTCTTTTAAGAGACACTTACTCGTAAGGCTTTCCTTTTCCTTCACCTTTCATCTCAAAGTAATGTCCATTGACACTACCCTTCATTTCAAATTCCATAAACACGTCTTCTGGAATGACCTGAATAAGGAAAAAGCAAAGAAACGGTTATTTTCTACTAATAATTGAAGGACTTAAGACGGTTTTAGTTTGCCAGCGTATTACTTGTTCACTATCTGAAACTTCTCAATAGAAATTATTGATTTCTACAATTAAGATACAGCTTACGCCATATCAAATTAACACAGTGCGCCTGATGAATAAGAAATGAGTATGCCCGCGCGTTAATTTACTTCTTGTTTCCACGCTACATTTTTGTGTATTTTTTGTCATTTTCAAAATATTATTATAAACTTGCGCTTACTCAAGGTGTATTATTTTATACCAAATTGTATTCATTGTTTTTAAATGTGTCACACGCAGCTAGTTTATTAACATAATTTATATTTTAGTTAACAGTGAACGCGAAATAAATTCATCATATTTGGATTATTTTTACTCAAATATTTTTATACAAAATTCTAATGTCACGCGCAACGCAACTTCATTCAGATGCATTTTATAATGCTTATTGACGCCCATTTCCCATTCATCAGTGAGTATTTTAATGATACACTGAAATGCGCCAGGCCAAATAGATACTTAAAAACAATATATTTTTACGTTTCCCACGCTTTGTTTGAATAATGAGTGGGTGGCTCTTGTTGTCAGTGTTTTGCCACGTGTGACAGTATATTTTTTTTGTGCGCAAACAGAAAATTCTTAAAAAATATTTTACTTTTAATATTTATAGATGATGATATTAGATTTAGTTGATGAGTTTCTTTTCAAAATGATAAAGTGGCTAAAAAAGATGATAAATGTTGTCAAAACCAAGACTTAATTCATGATAATTGGATGAATGATAGCCGTCAATGCGGTCAAGTCATTAATCATGATTTTGTGACTATTGTCATTTAAGTTATAGAAAAACAAAAAAATCAGTCTACCGAAGAAAATATCGTGTGAACAAGGTTTTGAATAATACGATTGATAACTACCATATCATGTTAAGCTACGACGAAATAAACGAGTTTTACCGTTTATTTCAAATAGTAGAACAGCAAATAGTACAGATGAAGATTCAAAGGTTTGTTAAGTTTAATGATATCTTCTTAAGAATCTTAAGTTATATGGATAATGTTACAAAATACTTATTTGATAAAAATCTTGGTAAACAAACATTGACGAAATATGATAACGTATTTGAAGATATTGTTTTTGTTATATAATCTTATTTCTATTTTTTTTTTGTCATACCTCTTATAATAATTATCTATGTTTGGTGTTGATTCATTGATTTATCATCTCTATGTTGTAATTTTACAATAAGATCATGGTCATTGAATTCACCGTCACGCAAATATGTCTTAATTTCATTTAACATACTCTTTAGAGTGAAGAGAGCCAAATTGACCCGAAAAGCCAAATTGGCCTCGATGTCTTGGAGACCAATTAAGCCCCTCAAGGGTCGTTTTGGACTATTTAAGCCAAAACGGGTCGGACAAGTATCATTAAGACCCCTTCAAACTCTGAATTGGCCCAAAAAAATTCTACTTTGGAACTTTTTTCTCAATTTGTCCCTTCCAAGAGTCAAGAAGGATTTACCAATTTGGCCCCAACAAGGTGCAATGCTAGAATTGACTGATTATTGGCCCAAAATTGTCAAGGACAGATGGAAGTTCCATCACGACTTAAGCGACACAAGGACGTTAAGATTCGGGAGTGTAAAGGAGTATACCAGTAAAACTAGATCTTAAACGCGGACGAAACCATAAGAGACTATCGATAGGCTGAGTCAACTTTATTCTGTGACCTTTTTAACAATTAAATTTTTGTTATAAGGCAGTTTCCCTCCAAAATTCGTCCTTCTTTTGCTTGTGCGCCATAGCATACAGCTCCTTCTGCGTATCATATTAGTCGAACCTAGACTGCGTGCATCGGACACAATAATGAATTATAGTAGCACTGAAGAGGTTGTTTCTTGAATCCATTCGCATGGATTTTCTCCTGAGACTTATCATCTAATGTAATAACTCTTTTCAATCCTTTTTTTTAGTTTTTCTACAGTCTCACTAGTTTTATGATCTGGATCATCAATAAATGCATGGTCACTGAAAAAAATTTACCTTCTATCTTTTTGTTTCTTCTTTTATTTTGATCTGCAGTAAATGGTTCTGTATCTACTTTAGAAACTATAATTCTTGGTGAAGGTATACGTTTTTCTTTTTAAAGTTTTGTTCCTCTCAAAGTAACTGGGTTTTTCGTAAAATTTTTGTTCTTGGTAAAGCTGCTGGTTTTAAATTAGACATAGTTTCTTCCTCCAGTTGTAAGTGCATTTTTCTTTGTTCTTAGAAAATGAACAGGTTTTCTATTAAACTCACTTTCTATGGTTTTAAAAAGCTTGTTTAATTGACTTTTTAACAAGTGCATTTAGTTCAGTTGCGTTCATTTCTATATATTATAGAAAGATTTTGATTTCAAATATGTTTTTGACAAGCGCATTTCAGTGTATCATTAAAACGCTCAATGATGAATGGGAATGGTTTGTATAAGCATTATAAAATGGATTTCTGAATAAAGTTCCGTTGCGCTTGACATAAGAATTTTGTACAAAAATATTTGAGTGAAAAAAATTGCCGCACACATTAAAAATGCAGCTGAGAGCTTGTGGGATACAAAAAGTAAACGAATGCGCCGGCACGCCCTGTTTCCGTCCATCATAAGCCACACGTCATTTGTCTCTCTACATAATTGTCCTACTCTGTGACCTTCTTTTAAAATATTTCCTTGAGCTGCAATATTTAATTGCATCAGAAACAAACACTGGACTGAATTTAGCTTCAAGGTGAGTGTGAAATTTGAATGTGAAATGCATGTTTTTGGCTAGCGCATTTCAGTGCATCATTAAAACACTCAATGATGAATGGGAAATGAGTATGTATAAGCATTATAAAATGTATTTCTGAATAAAGTTCCGTTGTGCGTGACATTAGAATTTTGTGCAAAAATATTTTAGTAAAAAAATGCCGCGAACTTAAAAAAAAAACGCAGCTGAGAGCTTGTGGGATACAAGAAGTAAACTAATGCGCCGGCACGCCCTTTCCCCGCCCATCATGAGCCACACGCCATTTGGCTCTCTACATAATTTTCCTACTCTTTGACTTTCTTTTAAAATATTTCCTCGAGCTTCAATATTTCATTGCATCAGAAACAAACACTGAACTGAATTTAGCTACAAGGTGAGCGTGAAATTTGAGGACATAAAGAATGAATTAAAAGAGCCATAACTGACACATTAAGACAGGTTAATTAGCTAGTACAGCGACACACTACGACGGCATTTTTCTGCCTGTGGTTTTTGGGGCATGCATCTATTTCAGTAACTTTCCAAACTGGCGAAATAAAGCGATCAAGTCCAGTTTATCATTTAATTTTGCGAAGCAAAAATTTTTTTTGCGTAGTTTCATTAATGAGATGCCTAAGTATAAAGTGGGAGCTACACAGAATTGACTGGAAATAAACTGTAACGACGGGTTGGGGCTCATAAGGTGGGTCAACAGAATATTACGTGAATCAACCAAAATACTTCAGCTCCTCCCCATAGTCAATAGATAATGAACAGTACCAAAGATTAAGTTCTGTGCCCTCAACAATTGCGAATCCTCCTTGAGAACAGGCTGTAACACCCAGGAAAATTGAGGCTCACCTCCGAGGATTATCATTTTACTTGATTTTCATCCGCAGGTCAAATAAAATTTATTTCATTAAGATGAAGCTCACATTCTCTACGTGAAAGGAAAACTCTCAAAAGTTTCCATTGCTCCTGACGTGTGGATTCCTAGTTGGTTTGTAGCAGCGCCCAACTAGTATCTGAGAGGCACAGGTTTGAATCCTGTCGAAGTCTAATTTATCAAGCTTCTTTCCTACAATTGCTAAAATTACAGCTCACATGCAAGGATTACTGCTTTGTTTGATTTTAGTGAAAGGTCATAACGTTTGAAGAGCATGTTTTGGGTGTGGCATAGCAATTTGCGTTCGGACGGTTCTACCTAATTCTTTACTACCGGGATAAGTTCCACTCTCTTTGCTTAGTTTCAAGAATTCACTAACCTGCTTTGAAAGAGACATGTTGAGGATAAGCCGCTTGATTTTCAAAACTGGATTACGAGTTGAGATAGTCTGTTGTAGTTCACTCCGTCGCTGACCAAGCTGAACTGACCGGAGCGTTAGGGTGGATTGATGTTAAAGGCTAGGATAGAGCAAACAAACGCTCATTATTAATGATGATACCACGTGAACCATCATGTGATATCCCACGTGAACCATGGTGTGATATTGAACAAATGGTCCATGCTTAGTGCGCGTGTATTTGCAGCTTAAACTTTAATTAAATTTAAAAGATGTCTCAAATGTTGTAACAAAAAAGTAATATTCGATTCCTTCTTGTAGGTAGATTTTAGACTTTTATAGCCTAAGCAATTTGTTGGTTAGTGATCCGTTTCGTCAAACAGAGGCGAACTAATGGATAATTGTAACGAAATTTCATTTCCTCTTTTAATTGAAACACCAGTTGGATAACTTAATTCGCAGCCTGTTTAATCACAGTCACCCCAGGCTCCAGCTGTGAGATGATCATCTTGGGAAATAAGAGTCATGACGAGAGTTTGTATGGGAATGTTTATGACGGCTCTTAGGTATGAAAAAATAGGTCAAATTTTCAACAAGAATACCCCACGTGATACGTGATACGTTTGACATAATCGGTTTTGCCACATGCAGGCATGTGACTCCAAATTGCTGAAACACGGTCAATTTGGAGCTTGGATTTTTTCGCTTCTTGGATCGGGCGTTCGAAAATGCAACGTACAGCCTTGGGCTTCCCTTATGCAGTAAACCTAGAAATGGATAACTCGCCAAAATGGATTCTTTTCAACATAGTAAGCGGTAAGATAACAAGCGAGCAAATGAAATTTGATTACCACACCGTCTCTTAGCATCAATTACGGGTGCCAAGGAACGGTGTGGTCCCCGGCGAGGCACAGTTTGCAAAGAAAGCAGGGTTTTTGTTTTGTTGCTTTTGACCTTGACTTTAGCAAAGCATTGACTAATTCAAAAGTGCATTATCCAACTGTAAAAGCTTAGGGTTTAGCTCCCAATTGGCTTGTTAGCTCAGTTGGTGGAGGGCTGCACCGGTATCACAGATGTCATAGGTTCAAATCCTGTACAAACCTTATTTTCACTACTGCTGAAGAAGTGTTCATAACTGGGAGGATCGCTTCCGTATTCATTTCTTTCTCCACAGTTCACATTTATGGTTTTATATATATTTACAGTCTGTATTTTGATTTAAAGAAGGAATGAAATTTGATTACCACACCGTCACTCAATTAGCATCAATAAATTGTTTTAGAACCACGGGTGCCAATTGACGGTTTGGTCCTCGGCGACGCAGAGTTTGCAAAGAAGGCAGGGTTTCTTTGTTCGTTTTTGACCTTGACTTAAGCAAAGCCTTGACCTTTTTAATTGTGCCTTATCGAACTATATTTTTCATAAAAGAGGAAATGAAATTTGATTACCACACGGTCACTTAGGATCAATAAATTGTTTTAGAACCACGGGTGCTATGTGACGGTGTGGTCCCCGGCGAGGCACAGTTTGCAAAGAAGGCAGGGTTGCTCCAAAATGACCGTGTTTCTGCAATCTGGAGTCACAGTCCTGCATGTGGCAAAACTGATTATGCTAAACGTATCATATCGTAACTAGTTGTACCATTGAATTTACAGAGAATTGTTTTCATTTCAGTGCTGCAACTAGCAAAGTTGCCTTAATCGTGATCACTGCTAAAGAGAAGCTTATTTCGTGGACGTAGCAGTAATATTCGTTGCCGTTAGTGGACCTCTTTCTTCGTTATGGCTCTTACTTTAATTAAGCTATTTTAATGAACACTTTTATAAACTGAGTTGATAAAGTGAATTTTCACCCAAGAGCCGTTCTAAAGATGACGTTTCGAGCGTTTGTCCTTCGTCAGCCAAGTCATATTGTCACTCATTTTATAAACGAAACCATCTAATTACGTAATCATTAGTGTCCGGGCGCTGCCCTCTTTCGACCCTGTTTCTTTTTTTTTTGTTTCTGACCTTGACTTTAGCAAAGCATTGACTAATTCAATAGTGCCTTTGTCACCCGCTTAGTGAACCTGTCCCCTGCAAAGGAGGCAGGATTACCAAGCTGGTTTTCAAAGGTCGTGTGTCGTGGTGAATGTGTATGCAGGCCGTTAGAACCGTTTAAACTGAAAATTTTTCAAGCAAATTGCGGGTTAGCGTCGGTTTTACGGGGAGGATTGAGTTTGTAGTGACTTGAAATGAAACTGTAGTATATGTGCTTGGATTCTACGTTTGATATGTGGCTGCAAAGTCATTCTGAGCGTGGCTTTTCGCTTCTCGGATCGGGTGTTCGGAAATGGAATGTGCAGCCTTTTCAGTGTATAAATGTAGACTGCAGACTGCAGACCGGGGTACAATGCAGACTCAAAACTGCAGACCAGGGGTAAAATGCAGACTCGGTTATTTAGATGAAATTTGTAAACATTTCTGGTTTCTCTCCAAATGATTAAACTTGTACATGGTCTTAATTTGTTTCAACTTAGGGTAGACTCCTCCAGTTTTTCCAGTGAATAAAAAAACACGTCTCAGCAAAACTAAATTTCCTAAGCATCCCTCGTCAGCCAACAAGAAGCCCAACATAGGTTAAGTTGACCATGATAGCCGCAGATTAACCTCGGGATAATACTGAGGAGAAAGAATGAGCGGAATAAAAAAAGTCAAACACCTGGGCCCAGTTGTATAAAGGGCGGATAACAATATCCAACGGACAAATCGCTATCCAGCGGATAAGTAATAGCAAAACGCATAGCGTTATCCATCGAATAGAGATTTATCCAGTGGATAGCGTTATCCGATCTTCAAACAACCGGGGCTAGGGGATATTGTTTGGAGGTTTTTAATTACACCCTTCATGGTCTCACACCCACAAATTTGCATTTAATTTAAAGAATTTGCACGCCTAACTTCGCAGCCCAAAATAAAGGTACGAGAACAGGGTTTCAATTTCTAAGTAATCGAAATTGCCGATGATGAAAGTATATCGCTATTTCTTTCAAGGCCGAACAAAGTATATATGAGGCACATGTATGTTAAAAGCTACCAAATATTGCTCAGCAAACTGCCTATTCCTTGACAAGGGAGATGTATTTAGCTGGCTGTGAACTGCATATTCAAACACTTACGTTTCTCGTTCTTACCTTGAAACAATATGTCAACGCCAAAACCACCTGAGGAAGTGAAGTTCGAAACATCAATCGCAATGACGATTATTGCCAGCCTCTCATGACTAACGCTGCCCGGGAAAGCGGTTTGTTTTAAAACCGAGTCTGCATTTAACCTCTAGTCTGCAGTTTTCAGTCTGCATTTTATCCCTGGTCTGCAGTCTGCAGTCGCCGTACTTTGAGAAGAACAAAATTTTCAAAGGAAAAATGTATACCTTTACCAAGAAATATTGTTTCAAAAATGGAGAAATCTGAGCTTCATCAGATGCATGCCCCACAAACCCCAGACAGAAAAATGCCGTCGTAATGTGTTGCTATACTAATTAACCGGTCTTCATGTGTCAGTTATGGCTTATTTAATTCATTCTGTATGTCCTCAAGCTTCCAACTCACCTTGAAGCTGAAGTTAGTCCAGTGTTTGTTTCTGATGCGATGAAATATTGCAGCGCAAGGAAATATTTTAAAAGAAGGTCAAAGAGTAGGACATTTAGATATTTATAGCCAAATGGTGTGAGGCGCACTGTGTTTATTTGATATGGTGTAAGCTGTATCTTAATAGCAGAAATCAAAAAATTTATGGATGGTGAACAAGTAATCTACTGGAAATTAAAACCAACTTAGGTCTTTGAAATATTAATGTCATTAGAAAATTATCGTTTCTTTCCTTTTACTTATTCAGGTCGTTCTAAAAGACATGAGGATGGAATTTGAAATGAAGGGCAATGTAAGTGGACATTACTTTGAGATCGAAGGTGAAGGAAAAGGAAAGCGTAACGAGTAAGTGTCTCTTAAAAGACGGACCACGATGAATTATTTCATTATTATGGATTAAAAAGTTATTGTTAAACAAATAGTTGCATAAGATCACATTGCTGTCGTCTAGTAAGGCCTGGTGTCACGGTATCAATGATTTTGAAAAATTACTAAAATGAATAAAGACCTTTTCTGAAAGCAAAGTGAACAAGATCAAAGATCCATAATAAGATTTTCAGTTATAAACTATGGGCTTATTTTTCCAAGTTTGCAAATTACCAACAGTCTATGACATTCACTTCTTCATCTGCATCCAGAGTGAGGCGAAGTGTCAAGGCTACTACAAATTGTCTTGTAAAAGCTCAGTTACAGCTAAATTAAATTGCGATATTTTAATTTCTCACAACTTAACGTGAAAGATTATGCAGCTTTTGACTTAAGTTTGAGTTAATACTTGGTCTTTCCTAATTTTCCTGTATTTCAGGTCATACATGAGCTGTTTCTGAAAATAATTTCCAACACTCTTATCATCTTATTTTAGAGGAATACAGAAGTCCACTTACCAAAGGAGGACCCCTTCCATTTTCCTTTGACATACTGTCGTCAGCGTTCAAATCTTGAAATAGGTGCTTCACTTATTATCCTGAGGGCATGCCCAACTACTTCAAGCAAGCCTTTCCTGCTGGAATGTCGTATGAAAGGTCATGGAGGAGTTGCGACAGCCATTGGGCATATTAGGTATAAAAGTAATGATTAGTATGGTATTGAGATAATACTCCTTAAAAGAAATCTTCAAGAGCATTTTTTATACGGAGGAGGCCACGCCGTTTTTGAAAGTGTAACTTAGTCGTGATGCTCACGAGAACGCTTCCTGTCTAGCTACAGGGGAACAAAACTACAAAAAAAACATATTCAGACGACTTTATTTCAAAAAAGGCATCTGTGGGAAAATGGGTTTAATTTGGAAAACATCGCAGCGGAAATGGCAAAATCTCAAAAAATATGAGGCGCTAACGCACTATTCTCCAGGGCACATTATACTCTAGGTATGTGACACAGATATAAGGGTAATTTTACATTTTTGTTATTGATATCTCAAATTTCCCTTAATTTTCACAGTCTTGTACATACAAATCCATGTTTCATGGCGTCAATTTTCCAGCCAACGGACCCATTATGGGAAAGAGGATTATTGGCTGGGACTCAACCTTTGAGAAAATTACCGTCTCCAACAACATGTTGAGATGTGATGTGACTATGTTCCTACAACTCAAAGGAGGCGGTTATCACAGTTGCCAGTTTCACACTTATTAAAAGTAAGTACTGTAACAGCTCCAATAGTTGAATATCATTTCTTTTGAGCTTTCGGTTCTCATCTTCTGAGTTTGACGGGATAGATGCAACCGAAGAGAACGCTGGGATGAAAGGGCCTGGAGAGAACGGCTAAATACTAATTTCCCGTGTCAAGAAAATGTTTGGGAGAGAATAAGACTCTTCACAAGATACTAAAGATTATCTATAATGATATCCTTTAAAGTTAAAAATGTTTCTTTCCTTGCATTTGTCGATAAAAGATGTTCAGGACGATGGAGAAGTAATCACAAGTAATTGCTAAACTACGCTGTACCGAAAAAAAAGCAAAGTTCATAGGCATTGATGTTCATAAAACAAGTAGAAAAACCAACACTGATGGGGAACGTAAAACGCATATTTTGTATTTTAACAATTATTTCTTCCTTTTGCACAGAACAAAGAAGCCGGTCACTGTGCCTTCGAACCACGTCGTAGAACATCGCTTAGTGAGGACCGACCTTGATGACATAGATGGCAAGGAGGTCCTGCTGGAAGAATATGCTAAGGCTCATGTTAACCTTGTGTAACTGGGATGGAAGTATTTTCACTACTTCCACGAAAATTTCTGACTTCATTGTAATACGAATCAGGTCAGTTGAAAAATGAAAAAAAAGATGAAAACCATTGGTGATCAACTGTGTAGTGTCATCTTCTCAATTCGTACAGTCATAGATACTCGCTGAGACTTAAAAAACTGGATACAAACGTTTTGTCGATTCGTTCAAACTGTCAGTTTTTCCATGACTACCTTCATTTTGTGATAATACTAGTAGCTACTTACAACCCTTTCCGAACAATTGTCCTTCCCCCTAGCTACCGAGCATTGCGCTAGTCAATTGGACATCATAATTAGACACTGTAAGCTGTGACATGACTTTTGAGAAATTATGACTCTAGCACAAAAATAAACATATCACTAACTGAAATCTCTGAAAACAGCAACTGATTTGCATCTCTGCTTTCGATTTGAGGTGGTAAAGTTCAGAATACATCACGAATCCCATACTTTCCGCATTCAGTTCTTACCACCATAATGCAATAATGCAAGTATAAAGCGAACGGAAAGAGTCAGATACCCGCGAGTACCCAAAATTCAAAAGATGCTGAGGAAGCTAACTAAAGGCTTCTGTTTCCTTTTTTTACATTCAGGTATTTTACGCAAAGAAAGCAATGGTTAGTAAGTGAAAAAAATGTAAACAAGATCTCGAAAAACGAAATAAGACTTGCAACTCAAATAGCAGTTTTCCTTTGCATATTTATTGAAATACCCCAGATTAGGCCAAATTCCTACAGAGGGAAATAAGAGGGGGTCGAATTTCAGGAGTAGGAAGGTTGTTTGTAAGTGCTGGATCACATCCTTGCTCCACAGCCGACCACGAAAATCACCTAAAATAACTTTTATCAAGACACGTCTTGACCTCAGACTCTAACTGCCAAACAGATCGCTGTTACGCTAACCCACGCCGCCACCGAGGGGCTAACCAGGGGTCGGCAGATGCAGTCTCCCACTTTTAAAAATCTTCATCACGTCATACGTCATACCTATGTATGTGGACAGAACGCATCATGAACACGCGCTGTTGTCTCGCATTTCGACGAGTTAACTGATGTTTTTTTTTTACTTTTTTTTAAATTTTTTTATGAAAACGTATAGCCGATGTCTAGTTTGGACCCCACTCAGAATTGGACTCCACTCAGTCCTATTACCGTTATAAATTGTACCCATAACCCTTATCATATCCATATATTTAGTGCATACCTGCTAGAAAAAATAAAAACTTATAACAATAAAAAATACCCTACTATGTAAAATTGCATGTAAAAGGGGGAGTTGTGAAAGCCCACTTAAACCAGCGAAGCGTCATGCCCCACCATCTTTGCTGATAAGCATGCAATCAATACATCTTTTAATCATTCAAAGTTTGAATGTGATAAGTTATTTAACAGTATGGGAGACTTTGACTAAGGAATATTAGATTTTTTAGCACTGCTCGACGATGGTTTCCAGTTAGCTAGTAGATTTCTAAATGATTAGAAGTATTAAGTCTCTGTCTCCCCTTCTGGAACACTCGTGATCATTATTCGTTTGCCCAATGTGGTGATAAATTCCTTTATGCTTTACGCTGATTAAAAATAAAAGACACCCACATGCTTGATAGCGATATCTCAGGTTAATTAAGGCCTGGGTCAAAAATGATTTTCGCCTCCAGTGCCCCCCCAGCAAGGTTCGCGGAATTCGCGTGGACTGCGCGAGTAACCATAGTTACTTGGAATTAAGATCTCGTAGTTCGTGATCGGCATCCGCCATTTTGAAGTGTCGGCTTTGTATTGGTTATTCCCGTCTTCGCTGGTGAATCCGACAATCTAGAGGAAGACATCAAAAGAAGGTAATAACATTTTCTTTGCTATCTTCATTTCCTCAAAAAATGGCATGATATCGCTATCTTAAAGCCAAAGAGAACCCTTTTGAACCTACGAAGACTTCTAAACACCGCTCTCAACATGTTCATTGATTTCACTGCCAATACAATGCAATGGTTTTTAAGTTTTGACCGGTAATAATTGCAACAATCATTGTCAATGATGGACTTGTAATTTATATATGTGTCTATTTGAATGTAAATATTCTACCCACTACACCAGTGGAGTATCTTTTAATTCAAATGCATTACAAAAGTTCTGATACATGCATATGATTCTGACCATAGCCTTCTCTCTTTGTTGATAAGACATGATTAATTACCAGTGCTTACTGTTGCCCCAAGTGGGGCACTGCTTTTTTTTGTGACAAGAGCAAACACAAACTGGTATAAGATGTGTCATCTTCTCAGCCCTTAACTCATAAAAGATGTGCCATCTTAAGAGCAGGATAGGTTGCCCTTGTTACAAAGTCAGAAAGGAAAATTTTAAAATTGTATTTCTTGCTTTTTTTTGTTGCTCTTCCAAGTCAATATTCCTGTTAGAAGGCTATGGTGGCCTAACTGGTTAAAACTCTGGTTTATAATTTTAAGTTTGATCTGCCAGTTGCTTGCCTAAATTCAATTTCATAGATCAATGATTGGCAGGAATTGGGAAATAAATCGGTTACATGTATGTTATCTAGCAGCGATGTAAAATTATAGACATGAGTATAACCTATGAAGTAATTTGTACCTGATGGACCCTAGAGCACCTTATCTGTGCATTATTAAAAACGTCCCTCTAACATTCATTCACAATTCGTAAAGCAGAAGTACAAAATTAGTTTAGACCAAGAGCACACATAAACTTGCTGAAGACATACATTGTAATTTTAACCTTGCAAAGCCCAATAAAAAGACTCCTGCCATGACATGGCTAGGGTCACTTTACCTGATTAGAGTGTTAATTATTACTTTCTTAAGCAGAGGTTTTATTAAGATTTTGAGGTGATGGGAAATGTACAAGGAAGCAGGCAAAATATGTTTTGATTCTGATTTATGTCAGTCACAACATGCAGGAAAAATTATGTTCCCAGCCAGGCAATTTGCTCAGTGTCAGGCCCGTGAAACCCCTGCTTAAGCTTATAGTATTAAGTGAGATTTTATGGAAGCAAGTGTTGCCATAATGCCTGTTGTTGTTGGTCTTACAGGGCTGGCATCCAAACATTCTTGTGCCATGGAAACCAAAAGTGGAATGTTTTGCTTAACACCTACTTTGAACAGAATTTTACCAAGGGAAATAACATCACTGGCTTCATTAATTCTTTGCAGGAGGAAAGGAGCTGTCACTTGCTTTTCCAAAATCGATGATGTAGCCATGTTTGTTACTCACAAGAAAATTATTAGCCTTCAAATCACAGTGAAGAAAGCCTTTTGTGTGAATATGTGAAAGGGCTTCTGTCAAATCATGTGAAATAATTAACCAGTCATTTGTTATGAGTGAGCTTTGCACATTCTGTATTGTTGCACTGTTTTTCTGACAAGACAATAGTTTGCTTATTGTTACAGATGTATTGTCTTCCCCTTTAAACGCCATTATTAAGGAAATGGGCTGCTTTTGAAGCTGCACACCTATTATGGTTGGGATATTTTTATGTGCGAGTGCCTGCATAATGTGAGCCTCCTTCATTATCTCTGTGGTGTCCTGCATCAGAGACTGTTTTTTCGGAACCTTTATATCAAATCGTGTGTACTGTTTCAGAAGGCATCGACCATAGGATCCTTCTCCCAGTATTATATTCTCTCCATTGGTTGGAAGAAGTTCAGTATGATTAAGTTTACAGTGGATTATTTGGTACTTGCATTCCTTTTAAAGAACTGGAAAATGAAGGCAAATATATTATAGAGAGTGTGCTTTAAATAAATGCTAGATTGCAACGCAAGTAAAGGTGAAGATTGTTGATCTCATTGTTTGGCATGCAAATTACTGCAAAGTAACTAGAAACATTACTCCTCCTCCAGATGGACTAGACATTAGCATTGGATTTTATTTTTTTCTTGGCGTGCTCTCCCTCGACGCTGCCGATTTTTCTCAATTGCGTCTTTCTTTTTTTGGAGCTGAAGTTCCTTCACTTTTGTTTGTGCTTCAGCAAAGCTTATTTTAAATATTTTCTCAAAGTGGACATTCACTTTTGAATAAATGTGTTTTACAACAGTTTTAATGGCTTTTTGCGTTGGTTTCACTTTACTTTGTGTCACCCCACTTTCAATAAGGGCCTCTTTTAAAAGTTTTCAGGTTTTGAAAGTTTCTCCACCAGGGAAAAAATTATGCTAGATTGCAACACAAGTAAAGGTGAAGATTGTTGATCTCATTGTTTGGCATGCAAATTACTGCAAAGTAACTAGAAACATTACTCCACCTCCAGATGGACTAGACATTAGCATTGGAATTTATTTTTTTCTTGGCGTGCTCTCCCTCGACGCTGCCGACTGCTGTAATTTTACCAATGCAGAAAAGAAGCTTGAAAATATTGGACGTGGACAGGATTCAAACCTATTCCGCTAAGATACTAGTTGGGCGCTGCTACTAACCAACTAAGAATCCACACCTTAGGAACAATGAGAACTTTTGAGAGTTTTTCTTTCCCGTAGAGAAATCTGAGCTTCATATTTAATGAAATGAAGTTAATTTGACCTGCGGATGAAATCAAGTAAAACGATAATCCTCGTAGGTGAGCCTTAATTTTCCTGGGTGTTGCAGCCTGTTCTCAAGGAGGATTCGCAATTGTTGAGGGCACAGAACTTAATATTTGGTACTGTTCATTAGCTATCGACTAAGGAGAGGAGCTGAAGTATTTTGGTTGATTCACGTAATATTCTTTTGACCCATTTTATGAGCCCCCTGTCCCCCCGTCAGTGCAGTTAATTTCCAGTCAATTTTGTATAGCTCCCACTTTATACTAAGGCATCTCATCAATGAAACCATGCAGAAAAAATAACGCTGGGCAAAAAGAAATGATAAACTGAACTTTATCTCTTTATTTCGCCAGTTTGAAGAGGTACTGAAATAGATGCATGTCTCACAAACCACAGATAGAAAAATATCGTCGTAGTGTATCGCTATACTA